AAAAAAAAAAAAGTTGGCACAACTTAAGGGGCAGCCTTGTAGGACTTTCAAACTGGCAATTAAGAAGCATAACTTCATAGCTCTCCAGAGTTTGTTAACTCTTAGGGCAAATTGCAAAGATAAGTGGGTCAGAAGTTACAAAGACTTGGGCTTCATTAACTAAAACTTTCTAAACTTTAGGCAAAGTACTACAAGAGTAACTCCTTATGCTGCAACCCCTACACATTACTAAAAGTACCTCCAACCAATCTTCCCATTCCTACTCAACCATTACAATAATATAAAAATAGTTTTCCACATTCGATAAAACATAACCAATTTATTTTCTTTCATTCCGAATAGCCACTGTATAAGCCTATAAGGTTACTCTTGAATTAGCTTGTTCAGAGTTACATGATTGTCTACATCTTAAAATGCATCATGTACACTAAATAACCAGAACCCCATCATTCCTCGGCATAACTGCACTATAATAACCAGACACGAGACAATTACGAATACGTACTAAGAGCCCGTTTGGTTTAGTTGATTATAGATAGCTGATAAGCTTGAAATGCTGAAAAGCATTTTTAAGTGTTGAAACTGATTTTATAAATAAGCGGCTACGTTTTCGGATAGAAGTGCTGAAACTGTAATAAGCAGTCGACGTGTTTGGTTAAAAAATGTTGATAAGCTGTTCTTTTGTTAAAACAACTAAAATACCCCTAAAGCTTCCACAAAATATAGTGAATTATAAAACATCATTAAGGATAAAATGGCAAAAGTCATGGTCAAACTAAAAGAGCTTGTAAGCTGAAAAGCCATAAGTTAGGGGTGACCAACTTATGACTTTTGGCTGATTTTGGCTTATAAGCACCTTGGATGCTTACCAAACGTGTAGATTAGCCAAAAGGTTCTTAAACCAGTTTCATCCGCTTATAAGCTTAGCCAAACACCCTCCAAAAAAATAAAACTAACCTGCAAGTTAGCATTTCAACTAAAATTAACCGGCAGACAGACAGAAAAAATATTTGGTATACTATCTATAAAAAGAGAAAAAGTACAGCAACTACCTCTTGTCTATTAGCTGAAATGTCCCTTTCACCTTCGTATTGCTCCTGCTCCTCGTCTTCTTCTTCTTCTTCCTCCTCGGTTTCTTCTTCTTCTTCTTCTTCCTCCGACTCCTCCTCCTCCTCTTCCTCCACCTTTTCAAGTTCCTGATTGTCAAATCCTATCCAATCACTTTGAGCCACACCTCGTCTCTGCTGCTCATCCCTAATTTTTTCAACAAGCATTGCCTCTTCTGACCGCCTCATCAGCGTCTCAGACCATCGTTCCCCTGGTCTTGCCATGCTCCTCCCACTTGGATCTTGGAACTTCCCAACATACTCATGGTGCAAATATGGCTCTCGTTCTCTCATTGCGTCCTCTGAAAAGTACTGTCCATCGTTTACTAATTTGTCCAGATATGCTCGTCGTCTGTTCTTAATCTTAACTGACCTGGACTTCAAATCTTCTTGCGTTGGGCTAATAACACTTCGCAGACGATTCAAATGCCAATTGATTTCATAATCATTTTTTAACGCTTCAAATTCATTAAGATCATCTGATGTTAACTGCGATCCATAACGTTCTGAGATTCCAAGAATAAAAAAAGACATATTTAGAAACACATGTTAATGATGTTTATAATGTTCTTCATTCAGAAAAATAATGTAGATAATGTTTCAGCTAAAAACTTCAAGTTCAGCAAACCAGCTATCTCGCCTTTAGTGAGGTCAACATCCAACAAGAACATGGCAAATCAAATATAAGCACATTTACTAGAACCAAAGAATTTTCAAGCTGAACCCTAGAACATACAAAGAGAGAGCAAGTACTGGGGCAATTTCAGTCGATACGAAGTTACAAAAATGCATGAGTTTGGAGCATAATAACCTACGTTTTCCCCAATTTTCTTAAGATTTATATATTTGGCTTCTCTCCTGTTTGTCAATTCTTTAATCTCTCAAAACTGGCTTTCAACATGTGAACAAACATCAGTGCTGAGTAAAAGACTCGCTTAAGGAGGGAAGCTCGTGTTGGATGCTTTGCCTCACTTTGGTGGCACTCACAAGTCACACCAGGCCAAAAGGGCATGAGCCGCATGGCTCATGGTCTTTGTTTCTAACAAGATAGCACCAGCTATTATAATGATTAAGGAATAAGAAATTAAAAATTCAGTATCAGAAAACTAGCAAGTGAGTACTTAGAACTACATCTTTACGTATATATCAAAAATTCAAAATTGTTTTGAACTTAATTAACCGAGATTTTACCTCATATATTTCGCTTCATTATTAGCTTTTCAATCTTTTGTCTAAAGAAGTATTATGCTTATAATGATCTTTCCTTGCATGCCATTACATATATTATTATTTCTTATTTCTTTATTAGTTCCTGTCACCTCTGGAGATCACACTTTAATTGCACTTCTCACCTTTGACAACTCTGACAAACAGGGGCGGAGCTAGAGACCAAGGTACGAGTTCCGCCAAACCCAGTAGCCTTGGTCCAAACTCAGGATTTGTCGTTCGAGAACTTGTATAGAGAAGGATTTCCCGCGGCGCAGCAGTTCTTCCATACCAACTATTTGTCTTAAGAAATCCATTTAATATGTATAAAAATATATATTTAGAACCCCGCAACTCAAAAAGGCTAGAGTCTTGAACCCCTAAGCATCAAATTTTGGCTCCGACTCTGTAAACATCCATATGGGTATAGGTCTAATGCCATTACTAAGATTTCTTCTAGGAAAAGCATACTTCAACAAGAAATTATCTATTTTTCACATAAGCAAAGTTATCTCCTTTGAT